CCGCAGAGACGTGGTCAATAATGAAGTATAACTCCAAGATGAAGCTGGAAATCTCTGGAGAAACAGCAAGCAAATCAACTGCACCCAAGACAGCTCCCAAGCAAGAAGGGGCAGTAGGATCCCCCTCCAAAGCCTTCATTAGATCCCTCTTGAAGAATTGAGCCTTGACTTTCTTCAAGACCTCATCGAGAGGAGAAGTCGAAGTAGACTTCCTTGATGCAGTAGAAGCATCATGGCTAGGGTCAGATGAATTTTCCCTGCTCTCAATGATGGCATTCAGGTAGCTAATTGGATCATTTTGCTTCAAGAGGGCCAAGTCTTCTTTAGACCTGGGCTTTGTCGAGGTGACCGTTTCTGCAGCAATGGTGGCTTGGGGCTGAGTATTTTCAGCAGCGTCAGCATCAACATGACCGTCTTCATCATGTTGCTCTTCTGTCTCACTGACCACTTGAGCTTCCTCCTGGTGATACTTCCCAGGGGCATCCTCTGTTTCAGAAAGAATCTCATCATCCACCAATTCCTCCTCTCGTTGTCTGCTATGGTCAACAGAGTCTTGTGGCTCCGAAGTTTGATTTACTTCGTTAGCAGAACTGACGAAAGAAGAAGGATGGTAAGTGGGTTCCCCTGCGCTGTTTACAAAGGAATCAGAACCTTCGACATGATGCCAAGTTGGTGCTGAAGTTCCAGCTGTCTCCTGAAAATAGAAAAGGAAAAATATTATGATTAGAGAGATGCACAATCGAAGGTGATCGTCGACACCTAAGTTAAAAGTGGTCGAAGGCACTACCTGTAAAGGAACCTCGGCCCCAGGGCTAGATTTGTCACTCTCAACGGGTTTGCTGAGCAAGACATTTAGCTCCTCCTCCATGGTTTCTTCGATGATCACAGGAGGTGTCCTGGTTTTATTCCCTGTGACTTTAGTTCTAATCACAGGTCCAGGCTCAGGAGCAGGGGCAGCCTTCTTCAGCTTTCTCGGTTTGAGAGGAACAGGAGGAGATTCATCCTCTTCGCCACTCGAAGTTTCGACCGTTAATACGGGTCGCTTCTTTGGCGCAGGTTCCTGAAAATCCCAAATGGGGTCGATTTAAAACACGGCATCGAAAACCAGGATGTTTAAAACCAAAGGGGGGAAACAAAGAAAGTTTGTTACCTGTACTGGAGGTTTTGTAGAGGGACCTCCACCCTGATTACCATCTGTGGCCTTCTTAGCCACAGGTTTTCGAACAACTGAAAGAAAAACGTTCACAAGTTATAATTGATAGATGTAAGTCGAAAGGGAAAGACAAATATAATTTGAAGAGGGAACGTACATTTCTTTATTTTGTCGAGAACCAAGACGAAGGACTTATGGAGTTTGTCTTCAAAATCCTCTTCGTCGAAGAACTCTTCGACGTAATATCTCTTCCACCAGTCTTCAAAAGATGGTGAACAGAGGAAGTTGAGTTGGTAGTCGAACAATGATAGTACGGTCCGACCAACGTACCTACTAATATGCCTAGTAGCGGCGTCTTCAGAGTAATCATTACAAAAATACAACAATGATTTCTCCCAAGGATAAATTGGAGAAGGAAGCGATTGGATGATTCCAAACTGTTGAGAGACAAGATTCGGCTGGTAAGAAATCAGGCTCGGCTGATTTTTTGAAGTCTTGAAGCGCAACGACATTATCCTTGGGGTAAGAAACGCTTCCCACATTGTTGTGTGCTCCTCAAGGTCAGGATTCTCTGATGATTTAGGATGGGGCCTGGTAAACCACCCTGGACCAAACTTTCGACCGACGAAAGGGGCCATGGCCGAGGTAAATTCCTTCCTCCCTGCAAACATCTGAACGAAGTTTGCAAAGTTCTTTTGTAGTTCCAGCCCATCTTCAGTAGGAGTTAATAAGGAAAGCCTGGTGCCTTCGACGCGCCTTCTAGCTATCTCAGGAGCCTTTTCATTTATTTGAGTCCTCTGGGGTAGAAAAGACTCAAAAGTGGCATTTAGCCAGATTTGAAGTAGCCAGAAGGGACCAGCAAGCAGCAAGCTGGCTCTATTTTCTATTATTTTTAATTGAGCCGCTCCACTGCTTATTGACTCATACAAATTTGCCAGTATTAATTCAGCCAAACAGATGTTTGGCCATGATGAAGCTGAGTAGCAAGGGTGACCATTTTCTTTGTCACCTGTAGGGATTTCGTGCAGAACACGAAGCATGACAGCCAAAGGGCTAGAAACGCGATGTGCTCCACATCAGTCACCACAACCGTCGATTTGTCATGGTAGTGGTTGGTGTAGGTGGTATAAGTGGGTTTGGTAGCTGAAAACCCAATCTGGTCTTCAGACATTTCCTCTGGGTCGAAGTAGTCCCCAGTTGGTAGAAGACCAGTAATAGCGGCCACGTCGAAGAGAGTGGGTGTTATCATTCCACAAGGCAGGTGGAAGGTATAGTGAGTATAGTCCCAAAACAGCAAAGAAGCTACCAGCATTTCAGGACAATAGTTGAGACCAGTTTTGGACAGCATGACTAGGTCATAAATCCCCATGCCTTTCCAAATTGAAGCCTAGCACTTCTCCATCTTGTTGAGCCAAGTGTTGTATTCTGGTGTAAGGTTAGGGCTAGACCTAAAAGCCCTAACCCCCCTGTTATAACACCGAAGATCTATTTTCTCTTTTGCAGGATCTTCAGTATCATCTGTCGCCTTCTTGGAGCACCCAATGGGTTTGAGTGCCTCATGCACGGGGAAGAAACCCTCGATTTTCGTTGGGTCAGCAATGCATGTTGAAATAGGGCCTGACATGGAAAAAACCTGGTTGGAATATCCAACTGGAATCAGCAATTGAGAACCATAAGTTTCACGCTCAGCATCTCCCATGGGTTCAGGAACCCTTCGCATTCCCATGGAGTTAACTATCGGAGCGGTTGAGAAGATTTCCGGTTGAGTAGTTTGAGAGGGAGTGCTAGATCTGGGGACATTGGAAGCACGAGAACGTGAAGCCATTTTTTGGTTTGAGATGAAGATGGATGAAGAACAAAGATTACTGGGTTTGGAGAGGAAGAAGCAAAGGTTTGCTTGCAGAAAATTTTGTTCGACTGAAGGTTTGGATGAAAGAAAGCGTAAAGAGTCCAACAGAGGCACTTAGTGCTATTTATAGTGATTGAAAAATCACAATACTCAAGGTCATTTAATGTCACAGACAAGAGTGGGGCACGTGGCACTCATTTGGTGATGTAACCGTTCTGAAGAACGGAAACGTTGCAGCGTGCGTCCTCGATTTCGGGAAATAGTCATGATGACAGCATTTGAAAGGACATCGTGCGTGCTAAATGCCTTACTGAAGTGACGTCTTGGGGAAAGGTGAAATGATGACTTTTTGAGATTGTCAGTTGGTTGGTAGGAGACGAAAAGCACACAAACTAATTTGTGGCTGAGAATAAAGGACAGGTGTCGAATGGAATATCAAAGAATGCCTTTTTCTTTTAAGTGTCGAAATAAGACATTCTTGGGGGGCAATTTGTTGGCTCCTAAATTCGACACCCATGTTTATTATCATATAGACCATTAATTATGAGTCAGAAGAGTTTCCTACATAAGAAGGCTTCGACCAACTGATCATGTCGAAGGCTCATCAAAGAATGACAAGATACTTGGAGAAATTCCTTTAAGTTGGAATCTTGTTGTCTTCGACGTCGAAGGAACCTCTCGACAAAGGTCCCTGATGCCCAAGGTCGAACGGTTTGAGATTTAAATTGCTGGAGGGAAAACGGTTTCCAGCAGTTACCAAGTGCAACGTGTCGAGAACATAGGCGTTGAAGGTTGTGAGCGTGCCATGTGGCGTCATGTCGAAGCGGTGTAACTGCCCAGCGGTTACTTAGGATATTTTAGTATAAATACTAAGTGTTCACGTAGTTTTTGCGGGTGTTCATCATTTTATACAAGTCACTCATTTAGATTCAAGTACCCAGCGTGAGAGAAATAATCATTGAGAATGTATGTGTGAAACACCATTTAAATTAATCAGAATCTTTTATATTCAAGCAATTTACCGTTGTTCATTTATTTACTTCCGTCGAAGCCTTTTATTTAACAATTCCTTAACGCTTTTATTTATTCTATCAAGCTTTTCTCCATGCAATTTACTTAAATTGTCTTAATTTACTGGCATTAATCACCATTAAGATTAGTCAAACTCTAGAAAATCAACCATGTCTTAGGATCAATCTGGTCGATCCTGTTAGTCACCAAATAAGTAACCTTTTAGAAGATCAGCGGTTGTTTACCATTTTTCAGGATAAACAGTTGTATCCACCGAATTCTGCTAATGTTAATTCCACCTAATCATGATAATAACATGTATATACAAGGCAAAACCACGTGATCATTCTGTATGTGTAAAACCCAAATCCACCAATTAACATGTATACATACAAGCCAAATCCACAGAATCCTGATAATAAACTGCATGTAAAAGCGAAATCCACCGAATGCAAAATACCATCGAATCCCAAAAAATTTATAATACTTTATACTAATGAATTGAGATTTGCATTAATTAATTGGATCCGTGGTCCTATAAAGGTAAAGAAGAGTTGGTGATTTTATTCCACCAAAACCACAAAAGCCAATTTATCTCATCCTCCTTTCACATTGTCAAAATGTCTAAACCTGTCTTTCGAGAATATATTGGTGTGAAGCCAGACTCAAAAAGTTTGGCTGATTTTCCACAAATCACCCAAACAGAAACCATAGAATTCCACTTCATTTTGGGCTTTGCCACTGAAAAGTATAACGAAAGCAGAAAAGGTTCGGGAAATTTCGAGGAATCTTGGAAGGATGAGTTCTTCGGTCCAGATAAAGTGAGAATTTTGAAAACAAAACATCCAGAGGTAAAGGTGGTAATAAGCATTGGAGGTCGTGGCGTTGAAACTCCATTCGATCCAGCTGAGCAAAATGTATGGGTTTCGAACGCTGTAAAGTCACTCAAACTGATCATTCAAAAATACAAAAATGAAAGCGGCAACTTGATTGATGGCATTGACATTAATTATGAGCACATCAAATGGGATGAGGCGTTTCCTAGGTTGATAGGCCAACTTATAACAGAACTCAAAAAAGAACGTGACCTAAACATCCATGTGGTGTCCATTGCTCCATCTGAAAACAACGCATCCTCCTACCTGAATTTGTATAATGCAAACCCAGACTATATCAATTTGGTTGATTATCAGTTCAGCAATCAACTAAATCCTGTATCCACAGATGATGCTTTTGTAGACATCTATGAAAGGGTAGTAAATGACTACCATCCTCGTAAAGTCCTTCCAGGATTTAGCACCGACCCGCTTGACCACATAAATATTAAAATTACACGGGATATATTCATTGGTGGCTGCACAAAACTCAAACAAACCTCATCACTACCCGGTGTTTTTTTCTGGAACGCTAATGACTCCAATAATGGGGATGAACCTTTCAAAGTAGAGCATGTCTTGGAAGAGCTCCTCGCCAAATGATGACTAACTGGCTATATCTAGTCAGTAATAAATCTTTCGTGATATGGGTCATCTATCAAAGACTATAAGCTCTATATGCATTAGCCTTTAAATATTAAATAAGACCCATTGTATTTTTCATGTGTTTTTGTATTATGTTAAAAGTGTGGAGAATTACTTCTCTTAGTATCAATATAATAAGTTCTTGTTTTCTTTTTCTTATGGAATTTATATCAGTGCTTCTTAGGACAAAAAGATCATTGTTTTTTTCTATGGGCTAAAAGATCACATTTTTTATGGTTTTTTCTTCTTCTTTTATATGGTTTTAACTACACCTTTTATTAGGCTAACGTTTGGTCAAACTTGGATGACTCTCTGATATAATATTTTTATTCTTATTCTCTTTGAATTTCTGCATCATAATTTATTTATTTCCGCTACGCTTTACTACTAAAAAAACATTACTAACACGATCTTAATCGAGAAAGAGAAAAATTATCCACACTTTTCAAAAAACCACAACCCACCCCCTTCTTGTAGTTGATGTCACTTTTTCAACAAGTGGCATCAGAGTCTAACTCATGTTAAGGGTTAATCGTCTTAAGAAGAAGGATGAGTTCAAGTTATTCACTAAACAAACCCCCATCCTTTAGTGGAGAAGGGTATGAGTTGTGGAAAGAGAAAATGAAATTATTCATAGAAGGAATGAATCGCGTTATTTGGAAAATTGTGAAAGATGAACCATTTGTTACTATACACACAGTTGATCGTGTTGTAGTAAATATCTGAAAAGGATTGGCCCAAAGAAGATAAACGGAATGTGCGACGTGGTTTGAAAGCTAAGAATATCATCACTACCACACTATGTCTCAATGAATTATTGTGAGTTTCTCGGTGCAAAACTGCTAAAGAAATGTCGAACATCCTCCAAATCACCCATGAAAGTACTATTGAGGTGAAAAGGACAAGGTTTGGTGCAACATTAATCCATGAGTATGAACTTTTCAAAATAAAACCTAAAGAGAACATAAATCAAATGCAAACACGATTTACTCATATCGCAAGTCATATGAGGTCTCTAGGGAAGTAATTCTCAAAAGAAGAACTTGTCGTAAAAATTCTAAGAAGCTTGAATCATGATTGGAAACCAAAATTCACTATGATTTGTGAATCAAAGAATTTTCAGACTATGGACACACACACTTTATTTGGAAAATTACAGGAACATGAGATGAAGCTAAAGTGATTGGCCATGGATGAACATGGAAGCAAGAAAACCAAAAGACTAGCACACAAAATAGGAGAAGATATCTCATAGAATGACATATCATTCATAGTGAAAAATTATAAAAGATTTATGAAGAACGAGAAAAAGGAAGTAGAAGAAGAAGAAGAAGAAGAAGAAGAAGAAGAAAAAGCATTCATTCCAACCTGCTACAACAGTGGAAAGAAAGGACACATCAGGCCAAACTGTCATCTACTAAAAGAGAAAATCAAAGACCAACAAAGAATCAAAAGAAAAAGGAAGCATATATTGAATAGGGAGACAAAGATACAGAATAGTCAGATGATGAGGAAAAAACCAACATTTGTCTAATGGAAAAACATCAAGATAACAAGGTAATTGGAATCCAGTGGTAAATGAGCTCCTGTAAAGGAAGACATTTGGGGAATACCGAATTTGATTCCTCGTGAGAAACAATGTTTCACTAGTGTCAAAAAGTTTGTCTTCGTGCAACATATGGCTAGTGTTTTAAAACATTAGTCTTCGTCCAACATAAGGTTTATTGTTTTCTTGTTGTTAAGAAGAGATTATAGTTTTTAAAGGCACAATGACAAGTAAAACAAGCATACACAAATTGTATCACATCACGCTTCAATTTCGGCCACCAAAATATCTTCTTCAAATCCTGATACATCTTAGTAGCTCCTGGATGGATACTCAAGCTACTCTTATGACCTCTTCTACGATCATCTTCTTCAGCTCAGGGTTATCAGGTATACAGATTCTACCTCGGAATCTCACCACACCATGCTCATCTACTCTAAAATCACTTTCTTCATTCTGATTACCCGCGACGATTAGATCCACCAATTTCACATCCAACTTATGACCCTCTTTTATACTAACAAGAAATTCATTGTTCACTGTCAGCATACCCAACATCAAACTTTGTTGTGTTATTTCACATACCAAACTCAAATCTCTGAATTTTTCAATAAGTTCCAACTCTCAAACCATCAATGCAGACATATGCAAAGACTTCTGACTTAAAGCATCAGCCGCAACATCAACTTTACCAGAGTAATAATTTAATCAAAGTCATATAGTTTAAGAAATTCCAACCATCTTCGTTTCCTCATATTCAACTCCTTCTGATCAAATAGATGCTTCAAACTATGTTGGTCACTAAACACTTCAAATCTGGAACCATAAAGATAATGCCTCTAAAATTTTAACACAAACACAATTGTAGTCAACACTAAATCATGAGTACGAGAGTTTCTATCATGAACTTTCAATTGCCTTGAAGCATAAGCACCACTTTGTCTAATTGAATTAGCATGTAGTAATATTCTTTTAAACCCCGAGATTAATTCACGAATAAATTAATAAATAAAAAAACACAAAGCACCAACGAGGGTGTCACATCTTCATGAAAACATCTTAATCAAACATCTTGCTCCGTAACACGGGTTTTCAAAACTTTTATATCAACGATTTCTTTAATAACATCAACACATAAATTTAGACATTGCAGCAGAATTTTAGTCTCAATCATTTCATTTATTTCATAAAAACATCAAGACCTTTTGGTCTTATCCAAGGTTAACATCAAAATAAATTCAACAAATAACAAAACTCGTGAGATGTATTTTTGAACAAATACAATATTCAAAACTCAAGCGTTTTCAAAATCCTGATGTTACATATCATAGTAAGACCCTTTTTATTCGTGAACACCTGTGTCTTACCATAGGCAGTTTCACCTTATGGCCACCCTAGGCAACTGCCCAGGCTCAAATTTTTTTTAATAAAAAAAAACAGAAGAAAAGGCCAAAAATTGAAAGAAAAAAAGGAAAAAAATATTTTTTTTTGTTATATGCAATGTGAATTTTAGGTCTTTTAATTTTTTGTCAAGGTTTAATTTTCAGCCTTTAAATTTTTTTTCCAGGCTTAATTTCCGGTCTTTATATTTTTTTGCCTAGACTTTATAACTTTTCTGACTCCACCACTGTGTGTTATCCACGTGGAGACAACATTCAAACAGAAAGGGTGAGTAATCACAAATCATTACAAAAGATATGAGGAATAGATATAGTAGTTATAACAACAATTATCAGGAAATCCATATATCATCATACATTACATATTATAGTCACACTTTCACATCATTAATTCACTCAACGCTTCATTATATCATCAGATCAACAATCACCAACAAATATCATTTAATTCACAACATCATCAACAACAAGAAAAATTGTCATTACCCAGTGTGATACGGTGGGAGAACTGATTTGAGGTTTTGCGTTTTATCGTAAATGTTGCGGTTTAGAAAGAGTCACCACCGACTTTTCTTTTATCCAAAAGGAAAGGTGAAAAAGCACATGAAAGACCTTTGAGATGTTTTCTTGAGTTCGGGGGTTAGATTATAAAAAGGGAAGGTATTAGCACCCTTTTCATCCATGGTATTCCATGGGCTCTTAGTTACTTGTTAGATCACTTGCTTTTGTTTGAAATTGTGCTTTGTGTGGTTTTGAAAGTATTTTGTAAAAGAGGCCATTATTTAGGCAATCTTTGTAATGATTCTTGTTCGTAAGAATGTATAGAAAGATGTTTGTCTTTTTTAAAATGTTTTCAATGATTGTAAGATGTTTTGAAATGTGTGTGTTTGTTTTGAAAAATAGCAAGGATATTTGTTTTGAAATGGAGCGAGTAACTAGAAGTGATCTACCTACTCAAATGTCTTTCTTGTTCTTTTTCTATTCCTTTGACATTGTTGTCTTACCATTGATTTGGTAAGCAACCCTATCTTTGGATGTAAACGGGACGGCGTGGGTCATCGTATAACCATGATTAGCAATATTGCAAAGTATCTTAGCATTTTTGAGGGACCAAGATCATTTTGTAAGGCAACTTAGACTAGCGTCATTGAGGGACTATGATCTTATAATTGTTTATTTTGCCAAGATACTTCGCATGCGTAATATGACTATTTTTGTATAAGGAAACCAAGTGGAGAAACCCTAAGGATGCTTGTGTGCAAGTATGTTATTTTCATGCTTGATTTTGTCTTTGATTTAGGGTTTTCTATTTGATTTGTTTTTATCTTGCCATACAAATCCTAATTACTACCATGGTATATAAAAGCGGTAAATTGCGTAATTTAAAGATTACTACGCTATTACAACATTTTTATGGGAGGGGGGAATACAAATTATGAATGGGGATTTGTAATAATGTAAATCTAATTAAGCTATTACAACCAAATCGAATTTGTACAAATAATGGAATAAATAATGTACAAGACAATTTAAATATGCAAGAATACATAAAATGCAAGAAAAGGATTTTTGTTTTATTTTTTATGTGAAAAGGGTTTTGACTTAAATCTAATAAACTTAAGAAAAAGAAATTAATTCTTGAAAATAAAAGTTAACCCTAATTTTTAATTTAAAAGAAAATAAAGTTCTATAGGTATTATTTTCATGTATTTTTGTATTAAAAATAATAAACAATATATTATGAAAATATTTAGTTTTTATATATCAAAAATAAATATTTTACAAGTATGAAATAAAAAAAGGAATAAAATAGTTAACCTAATTCTATTATATTATATTTACAAGTTTAGTTAGGAAAAATAATTAATATATAGTTTAATAAAATATTTTTTGTGTGAAAATAAAATAAAATAAACAAAATGCAAAATTTAACATGTTTATATTTTTTATGATTTTATGTATTAAAGA